GGTTGGGGGGGGGGGGGTTTTGCATCTCCCTTGTGAGGCACCAACTGACTTTTCTATAGGTCAGTGACCCCTGACTCATAACAGGTTCCCTTCCCTTCTCATAAATAAAGACAATGAAGACATTTTTTGTGTTAGACATAGTCTTTTATTTAAAAATGAAGCCTGGCTGCAAGTCCCCATCTGACCACAGCATTATAACACTCCTGCACCCCCCAAACCCTAGATCTGAGCCTATCAGACACTGGAACCCCCTGCTCTGACATACCCCAACTCAACTTCCTGCACTCTCACATCCACAAGCCAGTGGCTTACTTAGTAGCCCAACCCTCCATCTGACCCCAGCACTCCCTAGCCTGGAGCCCCTTCCCCAAGCCAGCATCCCCTTCGCCACCTCCTCCTGCATCCAAATTTCCTTCCAGAGCTTGTGCCTCTCAACCCTTCCCACACCCAAATCCCTCATTCCTACCCCAGAGCCCACACATCCTGTCTCAAGCCAGTGAGGGTACAGTTAGACTGCAGGAGTTTTTCCAGGATTCTGGAGGTATCCCAGAAAAACTCTTCCACATCCAGGGACGCATTTGCTCTTCCATTTTTTTAGTGAAAGAGCAAACATGCTCTTTTGGTAATCCCTACGGGTATGTCTACGCTACAGCACTAATTCGAACTAACTTAGTTCGAATTAGTTAATTCAAACTAAGCTAATTCGAACTAGTGCATCTAGACTAAAAAATTAGTTCGAATTAGTGTTGGGCTCTTTTCCGGAAAAGCACGTCTACATTGGCCACAGACGCTTTTCCGGAAAAAGGGCTTTTCCGGAAAAGCAGCCTGCCAATGTAGACGCTCCTTTTCCGGAAAAACTGAAAACGGAATAGTATTCCGTTTTAAGCATTTCCGGAAATTCATGCCAGTGTAGACACAGCCCAGGAGTTTTTTCAGGATTCCAGAGATATCCCGGAAAAACTCTTCCGCGTCCATGGATGCGTTTGTTCTTCCACTTTTTTTAGTGGAAGAGCAAACATGCTCTTTCGGCAAGCCCTGTATGCCTCGTTCCATGAGGAATAAAGGGGCTTCCAAAAGAATGGGTTTTTCTGACATTTGGTCCCATCCAGACAGGCCAAATATTGGAAAAACCTCTTCCTACAGAAGAATCGGAAAAAAAAAACCCCCGGCAGTGTAGAGTGTACAGCCAGTCTCTGACTTACGAACGAGTTACGTATCAAACTCTAGGTTATAACTCAATCTGTTCGTAAGTCGGATTACATTCACTTACATATGGCTGCGCTGTTCATAAGTGCGGATTTCATTCGTAACTCGGGTTCCAGCTGTATAGGAGGTTGGTCGTAGATACGAACGGTTGTAAGTCGATGAGTTTGTAACTTAGGGACTAGCTGTATAAGGGCTGGGGATAGCAGGTAATGGAGAGGAGGAGAATAGAGAGGGCTGGGCTTCAAGGAAGGGGTTGAGTTTTGGGGGAAGGATGGAGTGGTAGATCCTGGCTTGTTTTGACATTTAAAAAGTGGTCTTGGGTGTAAAAAGGTTGGAGGCCACTGTTCTAAGACCAAAAAATCTATAATACCAAAATTCAAAATGTTTCTGAATAAATCTGAGGCGGCTGAGGCTGTGTGTGTATGCGGGTATGGTCGGGTGTGGGCTGCTACACTGGCTCGGCCTTTGTTTCTTTGAGCCAAAGTGAATGACGTCACATTACAGTTGAAATCAACAGAACGGACGTGCAATGTGCAATGTACGATGGTGCATGACAGCAATGCGTAGGCCTGCTTTGTGCAATGGTGGAATCAGAGATGGAGTCGCTTGAGTCTTGACCGGCGAGTAGAGAGTACGCAGTGGTTGGATGAGTTCTGTTATCATCTGTCATTGTGGGTTTGTGGTTTTCCGTAACTGACAATAAATAACAGTGCGAGTATGGTGTAAACGAACAAAGATAGTGTGCGTGGAAAAAGTAAAAAAGTCGGCTGTTCTCAACCCATTTCCTTGGCCTATTTTGATTGCCAGTCCGCCCCTGAATACAGAGTTTGAATTCCGTGATTCATTCTTTTGAAATAACGAGCTTGGTAGTGTGGACACACAGCTTATAAATTTGACCAGGGATGGGAAGTGGGGGGTGGGGATATTTGGGAATAAGGTCCTAGAGTAGACCAGGGCTAAGAAGTGTGCAGGTATCCCACAATACATTCTGATTTCCAGTGGGAAGATGGCATGGAAGACTCTAGGATGGCTTTCTAAAGTGCAGTTTGTCTTCCGTAATGTAAGTTGATACTATCTGGACAGAACGCACTGGTACCAACAGACAAGCGTGAACACACTCTGTTGAAATAGTTTTTTTGATGGCACCATGTTGACCAAACTTTTCTCATAAACTTTCCAGTGTGGAAAAGGCAAAGTTTAAAAATATTTGTGAATCGCAAAAAGAGAAGGACTAAAACAAAAATAACAAAATAAAAAGGAATTAAAAATTAAGTTTCAAACATAGAAGAACATAAAAAAGGATTTAAAAGCTCCTTCCACTGCGCTCTTTCTCTGAAACTTTTGTTGTCTTTTTGGTTCTGCTATTGTAAGTGGCCGAGCATCAACAATTCCTGAAAGGTGTGCAGCACCTCACAGTCAATAGGGCTAGTCACGGAATTTAGGACCATCATCACTCTTCAAGTATTGGCACTTTGGATGCCGATGCACAATGGAGTATCTGTCCCATCTTTAGTTCATGAATTCTTTTAAGTTGGGATTGTGTGTATATGCATATTGTTAGTGCTAACCAAATTAAATACCCAATGCTAATGCAGACTTAAGGTTGCCCAGTGGCATCTTATGCCGTAGGAGAATGTGAAGAGCACCTAACTTAAGTTTTGGGAAACCAAGAAATGAAAACCTAAGGTGACACATATGTAAAAACTTTGAAAACTAGGGAAGACAAAGTCACGCTTCCCTATAAAATATGGTCTTCATTACCCTCCCTGAAGTTTACAGTAGCCACTGGAATTGATTAAATAAGATTTGCTTTGAGCCCTTCATTATCCTGCTGGTGCTACCAGATGCAAAAGTAAGGCCACAATGCTTAGGCTTTGCCTATACTACTTCCCTGAGAGGCAGTGGTTAGAATTTTCCCATCAGCCTAGTGAATTGAGAGATGTCGTATACCAATTGACATTCTGAGTGTAGGCCGGCCTACATATTGGAGGTGGTATTGCCACCTGTGAGGGATAAAAACCTGGGATGTCCAGTATCACCCTGAGCCCATCCAACCTGACATCAGGTGGCAGGATGTGTGGTGCACCTGTGCAGATTTCCGGAGGCAGCTACCACAAAAAAGGAACTGTCCTGGACAGGGAGTCTCATTGCCAAAAGCCCATTTTCCATTGAATTTGCGTGGAGGCAGTGGGAGGGTAGGATGCTGCCCAACATCTCTGAAAAGCAGGCTCTGGCATCTGCCTTCTACAGCCAGAGCCTAGGAGCTCCAGCTGTGCGCGCGCGCCCGGAGACTGCAGCTACGTCCAAGCGGGCGCACGATTGCTCTGACATCCATTGGTTAGGGCTGCGGGGGGAGGCTCCCAGAGTTATTTAATCCATC